AAATTAATAGAAATTAATAGAAATTAATAGAAATTAATAGAAATTAATAGAAATTAATAGAAATTAATAGAAATTAATAGAAATTAATAGAAATTAATAGAAATTAATAGAAATTAATAGAAATAGACATTCATAAAAATTCAGTAAAATTCTAGAAAGATGGCGCCATCTCATTGTAACTTTTGAAGTAATGTCCCTGTAAATATTTTCAGATAGACAGGCATCACCTTCCTATCACAGCAGAGTTCAAAGGTCCTAGTATACCCAAGTGAACCATGATCTATTTAGAGATATATACAAATATTTTTCAAAACGTTTGTACTATGATCGAGGCGGGGTTGGTTGTAGTTTAGCCATTGCTTGTTTGTTTGCTTGTAGGTAACTCTTTCTGCATGCCAATGGAGAAATACAATCATCGAGTGTCTACTTCCTCGTGGCACCGCTGGATATGTTAATATTGCTGCTCTATGAACAGCACTATTAACTAACTAAATGACACTACATCAATAACCCAAGCTAAGGTGTAAGGCTGCGTTCTGAAGGCTGAATGGCCGCTGGGAAAGCAATTGCGAATATTCCTTTGTATACAGCGTTACCCGGTCATGCGGGGCTCTGATCGGGTGGACATTTATTTCCCTAGTTACTTGTGGGACCAATATGGAAGAAACAAACCCAAAAACAACCGCGGACAGGGAACTCTCAGAAGGAAAAAACATTCCACAACAAGCAACTGAAGTAATTGAAACCGAAGCGATTCCAGAAGAACTTTATCTCCATCAACCTCTGGACAACGCCCTAAGGCGGAACAACCTTCGGAGACAAGTGGCAGTTCCACAAACCTCAAGAAAGAAACTAGCCTGAAACGAGTTGCCTCAAAACTCAACAGTACTCACCTGGAGCCGCATGAGCGACTCTCAGGCGCCCAAAAAAGAAATTGGCAATTCAAAAGGCTAAAGCTGCAGGAAAACCAATCAGACCTAGAGCTGAGAGAAGGACGGAGAAGAAAGGAGCCAACCGAACTTCAAATCAAACTCCCCAACTCAAACGAGGCCGCCTCCAAAGTGACAGTCCGGCTTTAACGGAGGCCACGGTAAGAGATCACCCCAATAAGCCTATAATTGGGTCTGACAGAGCAAGGGCAACCACATCTGCAGCGCAAGCGGGTAGAAGGTGGCTTGTCCTATAAAGAGGCACTAACACCTATGAAAATGGCGGTAATGCCTAAAGAATTTCCCAAGAAAAAACTGACTGAGAAGCAAGCGAATCAGACTCAGGAAAAATTGATGGGAGAAATTTTAAAGAATGAGGAGGGATCCGGACCACAGTTCAAGAAGGGAAATTTCCATAACGGAGCTCTCTTCTTGATCTGTGCCAAAGAGACCGCTAAAACCTGACCCTCCAAAATAATCCCCCAGCTCCAACCATGGCAGAAAGCACAACTTATGGTGGGACTCTCTAGCGAGATCGTCCGAACAAAGGTACTTGCGTTCCTTAAAACCCAAAACTAAGGGCTCCAAACGGAATAGTGGCAAGTCATTCACAGGCAAGTGGAAAACAACGGTCAAACCACTGTACTGTTGATTGACGACAACTCTCTGAAGGCTTTAGAAAACCTGCAGTAAAAACCCGATCTGGGCCTAACTCAGAGTGCAAAGGGAGAGGAAGGATGCTCAGAATAGTGCAAGCTAATCTGAGACACTGCAAGGCCGCCTCCGCAACCCTTGCACGTATCATTATCAGGGAGGACATAAACGTAGCCCTAATGAAAGAACCCTGGATCTACAAAGGGCATGTGATGGGGCTGGGACAAACCAAAGATAAGTTAATACACAATACCCAATGTGGAAAGACTATGACATGTTTATACATACGAAATGGTCTAGACATCCTCAACTTACAATATTTTTGTTTTAGAGACCTAGTAGCAGTTAGGATGGAAAAAAACATAGCAGGCAACAAGAGGCCACTCATTTTAACCTCTGCATACTTTCCCTATGACACCAACAGATGAGCTGAGGGATTTAGTAGGTACCTATCGGGCCGAAAACCTACAGTTACTCATTTCTGCTGACGCAAATTTACACCAATAACATGGGGCAGCAAGGACAACAACAAATGAGAGTCTTAACTTGAATTCATTCTAACCACTAACCTAGAAATATTAAATCATAGAAACGAACCTACTTTTGTAACTAGTAGATGGAGCGAGGTTATTGATATTACCCTTGGTTCTTTCTTCGTTTGAAATCACATTGGCAAGTGGTACGTGTCAAGAGAGCCTTCGCTCTCAGATCATCGGTATATTCTCATGGAAATCAACAACGTCGATAAACGAGGAGATGTATACCAAGACCCACATAAAACTGATTGGTTTGGATACGGAGTGGAGCTGGAGGCAGTGTTAAAAACCATTAAAAAAACTCTTAATACTAAAAATGATATTAGAGCAAGAGCCCGCTTCGGCTAGGTGCACATCATTTCATAAAACCCTCAAGTTTATCTGCGCACGTCACCAACACAGGTAAGAACGATGAGCGACTATGTAGTTTAGGTAGTGGTTACTTTGACAGGTAACAGGTAACAAAGGTGTAAAAAAACAGCACCTTAAGTACATTAAAATATAAAGCTCGGTTTTTTTTACATTGTCTTCAGAATAATATTTAAAATGACGTCATCCATTGCCGGACACTTAGTATAGTTTCAACCCTCTGCCGGACACTCCCAAACTCTGAAAAATTGTCACTACACTTACATTGTAGTATAAAAGCTGAATTTTATATATGTTTCTTGGGGGGCTATGAAAAGAAGTTACCCCAGTAGCCGGACAGTTTTCATGGTTTTTTACATCTTGCCAGAGGCCTTGAGAGTCCGCCGTCGGTGCGAGCGCGAGGCAATATATATTCAGGCGGGTTTGAGTGAGATGGTGAGTTTGCTCTATTGCGTTCTTTTACTGCGCACCATCTGTCGTTTACACTGTAGTGTAGTTTGTGAAATAAATTTAATTGAGTTTTAAGTAAAGTGTTAGCATGGAAAATAAATTAATTTGTTTTGTTTGTAAAGAAAATAGCGGCAAAATAGTATTGTCTTCAGAGGAAACTTTCAAAAAATGTAAAAATAATTTGAATGTCACAAAAAAACATAACCTAAAATATAAAGACATTATTTTTCCCGATGAATATACAGACTGTGGTTATCACCCGGAATGCTATAAAGTATTCACAGGAGTTATGAAAAAGTATTTAATTTCTAAACATGTGTGTTCTAATAAAAAAAATGAAAAAGCAACATCAGCCAGTGTACCTACAGACAATCGCTCTCCAACCACGCCGTCGATGCCTGAGTTGACCATCGAACCATCTAATTTACAATCTTCCACTACAGAATCGTCAATCTCTCGAACAACTTTTACTTCCGAATCAATAGAACCACAACCTACAACTTCTCAAGAAATATCTCAAGAAAATATTGAAACTTTTGAGTCAGATACTCCTAAAAAAATCATTCAACTCCAATAGTACATAATGTTACTGAGAGTGATGGCAGTATTAATAATAATCCAAAAGTTTGTGTATTCTGCAATAGAAAATATAAAAAATTACGGTCGAAAATGCTTCCACTTCACGAAGCAGACACCAACCAATTTAAATCTAGTGTATTACCTAAAATCGAAGGTCAAGACGAGTTTGCAGAATTATTAAATAGATTACAAAATTTTTTTGGTTCGAAAATACACTATCATACAGAATGTAGAGTCGATTTGTATAATAAAATATCTTCATTAAAAAAACCAGTCAGTAAAAGTAATTGGCATTTTCATGGAGAATATCACCAAATGGCTTTTGATGAAATAAGTGTAATCATCGAGGAAGACATAATCATTTATTAGTACATTTACACGAACTGTATATGGATTCATTGGAAAAAATTTTTCAAGACAATTCTGTTGAAATGAACGTTACTTTCAAAGCTCAATACCTAGAAGAAAAAATGTTAAAAAAATTTTCTAATGATATTAAATCTTTGATGGTTCATAACAAAAAAATAATAGCACCGAAATTTTTACACGTGATAGACGATACAATGTTGGAAAATTTACAAACCGAAAATATTTTACGAAAAGCGGCATTGACTTTAAGAAAAACAATATGGCAAATAGAAAAGAAAAAGTTACCGGCTAAAAATATTACAGCGCAGGATTTAATATCAGGAGAAGCTTCGATACCGCAACAATTACTGGACTTTTACTCTACTCTTCTTGCTGGGGCCAATCAAAAACGAAAAAACAGCTTAAAATGTAATCGCCAAGTTCATTCTTATTGTCAAGATGTGATTTTTGGAGTTCATAATGGTCAATTGAAAACGTCAAAGCATATAATGTTAGGCATGACTTTAAAGAGCTTGACAAGCAGTAGAAAAGTTATTGATATCGTTAATAGATACGGGCACTGTATAAGTTATCAAGGAGTTGAGGAACTAGAAACAGAACCAACGTTTACTTCTATTGAAAAGTCTAGCTTATGCAGACTTGAATCTTCATAATATTCGGAAAAATACCAAGCAGTTACAAAATTTCATTACCACGTTCAATCGATTTATTAATCCCTTCAGCTCAGAATTACCAAAAGAACAATTGATTAATATTTCATCTGGGAAATCTGCATCACCACCAGTAGTGGCGTACCTTCTACATATTGAAGTAAACGGAGGTCACCACCGTAAAGCATTCATTTCTGAGTGTTTATCAGATATTAACCGATTCGAAAAAGCCATAAAGAAAACATCAGTAGACAACTTCTCCAAAGATTATGAGAAAAAAAAAATAAAGTTCAAGTAGGTGGTAAAATTCAAGAAATTAAAATTCAAAGAGATTTATTTGGACGTATGCTAGGAATTTCAATGGATTACAAAGTAGATATTTCAAAAATTTTCTCACCCAATTACTTCAGTGCCATTGTCCATGTGCCATTTGGATAGAACTATTTGTAAAACTGATAAATCTGCTTTGATGAAAAGGTTAGAGAAAGAGGTCCAACATGATCAACCAGGTCATATTGATGTTCTAATCATTGATGGTTTTTTCTTGTTGTACACAATGAAAAATGTTCCAAAAACCTTTGGAAACATTTCAAAAAAAATGTTACAAACAAATGGTCACTCAATTACAAGCATCGAGAATTGATGTTATCTTTGATCAGTACTTTACCCCATCGATCAAAGATTATGAACATTCACAACGATTTGAATCTGCACAATTAGAGTTTACAATAACTGGGCCTGAGCAAGTTCGACCAAGTGATTTTGCGAAAGAATTGAAAAATTTGAATTTTAAAAAAGCTCTTGTTGATTTCTTCATTTCACATTGGGCTACTGATGAAGCGGTGCCATTTATTCAAAATAAAATTATAAACGTAAATTTCAGACAATGTCATTCATTTACTGTTAATAGTTCTAATCACGTTGTTTTAAGTGTAGATGAAGAGTTGTGTCATGCCCAGAACATGAGGAAGCAGATACTAAGATAGTATATCATGCGTGTAACATCAACTATCAAGCAAATATAGTGATCAGAAGTGTTGATACTGATATTGCTGCTATAATGCTTGGAAACATGCATCATCTTAAAAACGATTCATGTGTGTGGATCCTTACAGGTACTGGAAATAACTTAAGATATGTTAACCTAACCAAAATACACGCAGAGTTGGGAGATTCTATTTGTCGGAGCTTACCTGGGTTTCATGCAATCACAGGATGTAATTATGATCCTGCATTTTTCAGGAAAGGAAAATTAGAACCTTACAAAATATTGAAAAAACATCAGGAGTACCAGAAAGCTTTCATGAAGTTCGGTAACAATGAATTAATTGAAGACAACGATGAACAACGAAACGTTTTTAATATTGTCCAGAAATTCATATGCAACATATACAATGTCGGTAGTATAATTGATGTTGATGCTGCGCGCCTTCAAATGTTCATTGATTCATATACGGTCTCTGATGTGAACGAAGCTTTTGATCGAAAAAATTGCGGAATTTCGACGCCAGCAATCTACCACCATGTAAAAGCGAACTGTTTTTACAAGCAAATTATATATGTTGTATTTGGAACAATGCTCATCTAAAATGTCCAACCATATATAAGCCAGAAAATAATGGTTGGGTACAAGAAAATAACCAATACCATTTCAAATGGTTTGAAGGGGATCAGCTACCAAATTATGTCAGTGATTCGTTAGAAATTATATCAGGTATGTAATTACTATGTCAAATTATGTATATGATTTTATTATTATTCATAATTATATTAATTCGATTAAATTTTTACAGAAACTGACGAAGAAGGTGATATTGACATCAATCAAGAGGACTGGAGTAGTAGTGACGAAGATTGTGAAAATATTGACGAAAACGATGAAAATTCTGAGCATTACTAAATCATTTTTTGTTTACAATAATATTTTTTTTAACTCTGTAATAATTATAAGAATATTTTTTACTTTCTATAATATGGCTATGAATATAATAAAAATATTTGTTCATTGGATTTCATACGATAAACAATATTATTACCTCACACAATCAAAACTTGAATTTTTCAAAAATATTAACAAAACTCTAAAAATTTATGGATTCATTTTTTAGATTTGTTTTTTATTTTTAGCCATGAAAATTTTATAAATAATTATAAATAATTTTAAGGAATTATTTTGTTAAGTTAGTATTTTTATTTTTTGTTAAGTATAAAAAATAGTTTAAGATATGATACTGAGTAAGTAAAAAATAAGCAGTAAAAGAACGCAATAGAGCAAACTCACCATCTCACTCAAACCCGCCTGAATAAATATTGCCTCGCGCTCGCACCGACGGCGGACTCTCAAGGCCTCTGGCAAGATGTAAAAAACCATGAAAACTGTCCGGCTACTGGGGTAACTTCTTTTCATAGCCCCCCAAGAAACATATATAAAATTCAGCTTTTATACTACAATGTAAGTGTAATCACAATTTTTCAGAGTTTGGGGGTGTCCGGCAGGGGGTTGAAACTATACTAAGTGTCCGGCAATGGATGACGTCATTTTAAATATTATTCTGAAGAAAATGTAAAAAAACCGAGCTTTATATTTTAATGTATTTAAGGTGCTGTTTTTTTACACCTTTGTTACCTGTTATCTGTCAAAGTAACCACTACCTAAACTACATAGTCGCTCATCGTTCTTACCTGTGTTGGTGACGTGCGCAGATAAACTTGAGAGTTTTATGAAATGATGTGCGCCTAGCCGAAGCGGGCTCTTGGACTATATGGATGAAATTGCAAAACAACTACGGGACGCAAAAATAACATTATATCACAATAACTGCTCGTTAAAGAATAGGAAAACTTCTAGGGAGGTGAGCTGGTGGGACACTGAACTCGCCAAACTCAGAAAGAAACCAAGTAAACTTTTTAATAAGGGTAAAAAGACAAATGAGTGGGGGGAATACACCGAAACACTCACAAATTATAACAAAATTCTTAGGAAATCTAAGAGGGATTTATGGAGATTGTCAGGAAATTAAAAATACAACTGAAGACTCCACCGCATTCTAGAAAAGGATCCAATAAACCCTGTGGGGACTTTAAAAACCCAAACAGGGAAATACACTAAAACTGGAATGGAAACATTAGAATTACTTCTTAAAACTCACAAAATACCAAATTCACTGGCAACAGATAAGACGGCACAGAATCAGACCAAACCCACGCATGGCTACGAAGGCACTACAACTCTCAAGGCTTCAGATATCCACCACTGTGTGATTACTAATGGGGCGAATTCAAAGCTGTTACTAGGCGATGTTTCATCCTTTTCGGCCTAGAACCGGAAAGAACGCCCCAGGAACACTTGGTAGGGAACCTTTTAAAACTAACCAAAGACACAGGACTATTCCAAAGATTGTACCTTAATACGGGAAAAGCAGGGGAATACAATAGACCTAAGAGGCCGCAGTGTTCTGGGCCAAACCTAACCCTACCTGCTTACAACCGATAAAGATAAAAGACTATGATCGAAATCGGGGTCTCCAATAAATCTATGAGTGCAAATTTTTACATTGGAAATTAAACTTTTTAATCTAACTTTCTTACATCTACATTTTTGCCGCTACGTTTCAAACATAAAACAAATTATAGGCGACACATTTCTTGACTAAAATAATTGGATTTTTAAGTAAGAATACAGCTATACATTTGTAGTATAACCAGACTAACACGTATCACTAGGTATACGTCATTGTTCCACTCCTGCATTTTTTCATTCTGCAGATTTTTTCCGGATTATAATTGATTGTAATAAATCTTAACAACCTCTCAATACATTATAAATTATAATTTTATTTAAAGACTTACCATTAGAAGTATGAGTTTCTTGCAAAATTTGCAATTCTAAAGGTGCATTAGGGTCAGCTACGCCTTTTAACCTTTTGATGACACCATCGACAAGTTCTTGTCTGTTGCTAGCAAAGACTCCTAGATGATCTCCGGGCTTGTAAGGAAGATTACTTTTAAATGCAAGCAGCAATGTTGCCTTGGATGATTTATTTCCATGTAGGTTAGTTCTTCGGATAAGTTCAGAAGAAGATACCTATTTAAAAAATATAATAATTGATGAGTCTAAAGCAAAAACGGTGAAGGTCATTAAAAATTAGTTCTGGCTTGCAGAAAACATGTGGAAACCAGTAAAAAAAGTAAATCGTTATAGACTTATAGGCGAAAATCAAAGACAATATGGAAACAAAAATATGGAAATTCAAACGATTAAAACTGATGATGAACCAATGATAATTGTACTAGTACATATAGATTTAAGGTTCCCTATATTACCGACAAAATCTAAGGTATTTCTTAAAAGGGTTTTGGTAAAATATATAATTTTTAACCTACCTTTTTATTATGACACTTTGAAAGTCCAGCAGTAAGTGGAACGGTTGTAGCTTCGATAAATCTAACGTTATTTATGGTTAAAGATTCACTTTGAAGTGACATTGTAGCTTCCAAGAAGGTGCCATCGTCGTCAAGGCAAAATGTATCGCAGGCAACCTTAAAATTAATAAACAATATATTTGTAATGGTTTTATAAAAATACAAAACTCAAAATTAATAATAATTTAAAAAGATTTGAAAATATACCTAAAAAATAATGCATATATCAGTGACTATTTTTTCTTTAGAGAAATAGTCTGCAATTCTTTTTGTCCAAAAAAGTACAAAAAAATCAAAAAGGTCCAAAAAAGTCCAAAAGTCAAGAAAATTCCAAAAAATCAAAAAAGTAAAAAAAGTCAAAAAAAATTAAGTCTAAAAAAATTCCAAAAAAGTCCAAAAAAGACCACTAGTCCAATAAATTAAAAAAAAAATGGTTAAAAAAGTCAAAAAAAAGTCAAAAAGACAAGAAAATTCCAAAAAGTCAAAAAAGTCAAAGTCAAAAAGTCAAAAATGTCCAGAAAGTCAAGAAAATTTTAAAAAGTCAAGCAAGTCAAAAAAGTCGAAAAAAGTCGAAAAAAGTCGAAAAAAGTCGAAAAAAGTCAAAAAAGTCAAAAAAGTCAAAAAAGTAAAAAAAGTCAAAAAAGTCAAAAAAGTCAAAAAAGTCAAAAAAGTCAAAAAAGTCAAAAAAGTCAAAAAAGTCAAAAAAGTCAAAAAAGTCAAAAAAGTCAAAAAAGTCAAAAAAGTCAAAAAAGTCAAAAAAGTCAAAAATGTCAAAAAAAGTCAAAAAAGTCAAAAAATGTTAAAAAAAATCCAAAAAAGTTAAAAAAAAGTCCAAAAAAGTAAAAAAACGTCCAAAAAAGTCCAAAAAAAAGTCCAAAAAAATCAAAAAAGTCAAGAAAATTCCAAAAAGTCAGTCAAAAAGTCAAAAATGTCAAAAAATTCCAAAAAGTAAAAAAAAAAACAGTAAAAAAGTCCAAAAAGTCAAGCAAGTCAAAAAAGTAAAAAAAGTAAAAAAAGTAAAAAAAGTCAAAAAAGTCAAAAAAGTCAAAAATGTAAAAAAAAGTCAAAAAAGTCAAAAAAGTCAAAAAAGTCAAAAAAGTCAAAAAAGTCAAAAAAGTCAAAAAAGTCAAAAAAGGCAAAAAAGTCAAAAAAGTCCAAAAAAATCAAAGTCAAGAAAATTCCAAGAAGTCAAAAAGTAAAAAAAGTCCAAAAAAAGTATAAAAAATCCAAAAAAGTGAAAAAGTCAAGAAAATTCCAAGAAGTCAAAAATCCAAAAGTTTCAAAAAGTCAAAAAAAAATAAAAAAAGTCAAAAAATTCAAAAAAATGTTAAAAAAGTCAAAAAGTCAAAAAATTAGAGTCAAGAAGTCAAAAAAGTAAAGTAAAGAAAAGTGCAGAAAAGTAAAACAAAAGAGTTCGGAAAAGGCAAAAATCAAAAAAGTAGAAAAATTCCAAAAAAAGTAAAAAAGGTCAAAAAAATCGAAAAAAGTTAGGGAGTGAAAAAAAGTCAAAAAGTAACAAAATGTAAAAAAAAAATATCAAAAGAAAAAGTAAGAATATTAAAAATTAAAAGAAGTAGAAAAGTAGAAAAAGCAAGAAAGTCAAAAAAATTTAAAAAGTAAAAAGTCAAAGAAAACCCAAAAAAGTAAAAAAAAAGTAGCAAAATGTCAAAAAAAGTCAAAAATAAAAAAAAAATTAAGTAAAACTATTTAAAAAAGTAAAAGAACTAAAATCAGAAAAGTAAAAAAAAATCAAAAATAAAAAAACTCGAAAAACTAAAGTCAAAAGCCAAAAATAGCCAAAAAAGTTCAAAGAAAGTTCGAAGAAAGTTTGAAGAAAGTTCGAAGAAAGTTCGAAGAAAGTTCGAAGAAAGTTCGAAGAAAGTTCGAAGAAAGTTTGAAGAAAGTTCGAAGAAAGTTCGAAGAAAGTTCGAAGAAAGTTCGAAGAAAGTTCGAAGAAAGTTCGAAGAAAGTTCGAAGAAAGTTCGAAAGTTCGAAGAAAGTTCGAAGAAAGTTCGAAAAAAGTTCGAAGAAATTTCGAAGAAAGTTCGAAGAAAGTTCGAAGAAAGTTTGAAGAAAGTTCGAAGAAAGTTCGAAGAAAGTTCGAAGAAAGTTCGAAGAAAGGTCAAAGAAAGTTCAACGAAAGTTCAAAGCAAGTTCAAAGCAAGTTCAAAGCAAGTTCAAAGCAAGTTCAAAGCAAGTTCAAAGCAAGTTCAAAGCAAGTCCGAAGAAATGTTCAAAAAAGGTCCTCTGAGCGGTTAGCATTGGGTCAACAAGAATAATTATTGACGTGCTACTCAATGTGCTTGCTGGATCTAAATATGTTCTTTCCGCCGACATTGTACCTAAGGTAAACAAATCCTCAAAGGAGGCCGCTGTAGTGGCCAAACTCATGCAGCTAAAATCGGTTACAGAGGGCCTAAACACTTTTGAACCGTTTAAGACTCCAGGTGTAGATGAATTATTTCATGCTCTGCTTCAGCGGGTACAGGAGGAATTACTACCATAATTATATCATAACAGAAGTACCGAGAAAAAAGATCTATAGGCACTGCCCTGGTACAGCTGACTCTCGAAATCCAGAATGCACATGTATACAAAGGAGTAGATAGCACCACATCCAGATGGATGGCTCAGTTGCTATCTACGAGACCTGCAGAGACACAGATAGGGCAGGACACCAACTCCATCTGCAAAACTAGAGAATGTCCTCAAGAAGGAGTTCTATCCTCTTCCATACAGATTGACTGACTTCAGCATATCCTGTCAAGGTTATACCGACGACAGAGTCATATTCGCTGGAGGCAAATTTGGAAATATTCCTGATATAATCCTAAGAAGACTAGAACACACCAAAATATGGTGAGTTAGGACGCAATATAAACAACACGAAAAAAACACTAGTAGCCTTTTCAAGGAAAAGAAAACAATCTTAAAACCGTTAAGTTAGACGGGACAGATATAGATTGGAAAAATGAAGTCAAATATCTGGACAACAAAGGAAGTAGTAAATAAGGCCACAAAAGCCCTAATGGTGTGTAGAAACATTTTACCTCGTCAAGTTAAAAAGTAATAATGTCATTTACCGTATAAATAAGATCCCAAACGGTAAACCGAAAGTAGTTTACCAAAACCGGCCGGCACCATTTGAGGGTAACCATGACGAGGAAGAAGAAGTAAACCAGCTTCTAGAAACACCTAATCCGGATCTTGTCTTTGAAGAATTTATGGGTGCATATGGAGGTACCGGTAAAGCAAGATATAATGTTACAAGGTCTGGCATCTGGAAGAAGTTTGAGTTTGGTCGATTCTCAGAATTTGAAGATCAGTTACCAGCCCCTGGAAAATCATTAAAAGTTTAAGATGGATCGCGTTATATTTTCTATTTGGTAACAAAGAACACCTTCCGAGATTAATTCATTTATGGAAAACATTACTTAGTCTGAGGGAGCACGTACTGGAGTCTGATGTACAGAAACTAGCAATGCCCAAGATAGATAGCAACCAGTTGAATTGAAAGATCATTAGAAACATGGTAAAAGTAATCTACTAACATACTGGTTTGTAGCCATTCGTCTAATGTCTAGGTTTCAGAAAAAACAACCCCTTATTATTTCCATACAAATGGAAATTGTACAAGAGGTTCCAGTTGCAGATACAGCCATGCAGATTCAGTAACAGTTCTAGTAGGATATATCTCTTAAGAACGGACAATGTAGTGTAACTACCTTAAGCCGCAGGGCAGAGACAAACGCACTTCTTCGAGAAGCTACCAAAGAAATAGAATTATAAAAAGTAAGAAATTCCAGAGAGTCTAGACCATCGAGAATGTACTAGTGCAAAGCTGGCTTTATATAGATAATGCGACTTTGTTTTATGATGTATAGTAAAGATAAATTGTAATGAATAAAGTAAAATTGTTAGCTATAATAGTGCCTAAGAATTAAATAAATTAATTGATACGTTATATATAAATTAATTGTTTTTAATAAATAAACTATTTGTTGTCGTTCTACTGAAAGATACACATTTTGTTAAATATACGTATAATATTAACGTTGGTTTAAATTGCATAAAGGTCCTGAAAAGAACTACTCCTTTGGCTAATACCGCAACAGGCATTGGATTCTATTTAACGTAAATAGCAAAGATAGAAAATAATTTTCAACTCTTAAACTTTGATTTTGCTTCCTAAGGAGAAAATAATTTCTATTAAAAATTAGATTTAATGAAAATCCGGTTAAAAATTGCATAATACCTTAAAGGCTTGTGATGCCCATTTTTTGAAAGCTTGCTCTTGCCCACACATTTCGTCTCCCGTTGATAGCTTTATCAGGCGTTCTCCTCCGAGTTCTCCAAGTAAGTTATCGACGTATTGTCCAAAGGCGCAAAAGTTTGGATAGGCACTTGATCCCAATGCAAAAACAGCAAATCTAGAATCATTAATATACATTAAAAAACGGTTTTTTCAAATGCATGCAATGTGTTTTCAAAAGACATGCAAGTTCACAAATAAACATAGAAAACATGCCTAAATACAAAAGAAATCTTCAATAAAAATGTGTCAGTAGATAGCGTCACTTCAGAGTAGATCTAGCCTAACTCCACAATATGGATTTTCGATTTTTAACCAATTAGGATAATTCAAACTATCAAAAATAGAAAAGCCAAATTTTGGAGTTAGGCTAATTCTGCTCTAAAGTGCCGATATACATCCAGGAACTCGCCAATATAATTTTCAACACTACTAAGCATGCGTATTGAGTCGTTTTCAGACGATATTGCGTCATTAAGCGGTAAAGTAGAACCAGAAATATTGTATAATACTAAAATTGCTGGGACACACAGCTACCACGTGTAGTAGAGGTCACATTAAGTCGATTGGTCCCAATTTATATTGTTACGCAGCACCCTGCAGCGTGCTGCAAAAGTTCGAGTAAAAGAAGAAGAGGGAATATTCGAGAAATGTCATTCCACGTCAAATCTATGACATTTATTCGTTTCTTAACCGCTCATTGGCCGTTCGCCGACTAAGGCCGATTAAGATAATTATTTCATAAATTTTGAACACGACTATATTTCGAAACTCGCTCTTAGTAACAAATCTAGTTACTTTTCCC